TATGTGCCTGAGTTTTTGTGTTTTTTTAAATGAGCTAACGTGAATAGAGAGAAATCTGTTAGCTGATGGTACATGGAGGGGAATGTAATCATTGTGATGAAGCAAGGTGTATGATTTGTTGAATGTAAAGCTGATGCTCTGCCCTATAAACTTACACTCAATCCACAATAAAAACTTGAAAAAAAAAGTCTATTGAAGGCAGGCAGGCAGGCAGACAAGCAGGAAGGATGGAAAGAGGGAGGAGTCATTGCATTCCATCTTGAACTAACCTTCCCAACATCTTGTGGAGCTGGTTGCAACATCACTGAGCAGGGCAAGTAGTCAGGAAACTGAGAAGAAACAAAACAATGATTCCTTTCACAAGGGCTGATTTCAGGTGTAATATACAATCGTCCTGGTGTGGCGCTGTGGGTTAATGAGTCAGACTGTAAAGCAGTTTGAACTGCAAGGTCGGTGGTTCAAGCTCACAAACTGTTCCTTGGAAACTCTATACAGGGTTGCTATGGGTCGAAATCAACTCGACAACACTTAATAACAACATACAATCATCAGTGGTTTAAACCCACCAGCTGCTCCTCAGAAACCCTATACAGGATTGCTATGAATCTGACTACCTTGATGCTACTTAAGAGCAATGGCTCTTTTCAGAGGATCCCTGGTGGCGAGTGATTAAGCATTCTGTTGCCAATTAATAGTCAACAGTTAGAACCCACCAGTTGCTCCACGGGAGAAAGATATGGCAGTCTGCTTCTGTAAAGATTTACAGCCTTGGGAACCTTATGAGACCGTTCCACTCTGTCTTGTAGGGTTGGATTTGAGGTCAGTGGGTTTACTTTGTTTTATGGTAACCCTCTGCACTGAAGGTGACAAATATTGCAAGTACCAGGGACTGCCAGGAACAAACAAATCTGTCTTGGAGGAAGTACAGCCAGAATGCTTCTTAGAAGCCAGGATGACAAGACTTCATCTCCCATATTTTGGAGATGGGATCAGGAGGGGCCACTTCCTGGAGAAGAACTTCGTGCTTGGCAAAGTAGAGCGTCAGAGAAAAAGAGGATGACCCTCAGTGAGCTGGATTACCACATGACTGGTAACAGTTGTGAGGACTGGGTGGTGTTTTGTTCTGTGGTACATAAGGTTGCTATGAGTTGGAACTGACTTCCTGGCACCTAACAACAGCATAGTGTTTATGAATTGGGCTGCAAACCTCAAGGTCAGCAGTTCGAAACTACCAGCTGTTTCGCGGGAGAAAGATGAGGCTTTCTGTTCCCGTAAAGATTTACAGCCTCGGAAACCCTGTACAGGGTCGCTATGAGTTGAAACCGACTCCACGGCACACAGAATAACAACAACAACCCTCTTCAGCGTGTATTCTGAACATTTTCCACATCATGAAATTGAGTTCAATCCTGACAGCAACCACAAGATCCATCACTTCTAGGCCTTCTAGAACACCACCTTCAATTTGACTAAGTCTTCTTTGTTGGTTACTTCTTGTTGTCTCCAAAAGTCTACACCCCCAATACCAGCTCATGGGGTAGTCCAGTTCCAACTCACAGGTACCCACGTACAACAGAGCCAACCACAGCCTCACCTGCACCATCCTCATAATCATTGCTGGGTTTGAACCCAGTGTTGCAGATACCACGTCAGTCTGACGCACTGAGGGTTTTCTTTTTTTGCCGACCCTCTACTTTACCAACCATGATGTCCTTCTCCAAGGACTGGTCCCTCCTGACATGTCCAAAGTACATGAAGACGGAAGTCTCCCCATCCTGGCTTCAAGGGAGCATTCTGGTTATACTTTTTCCTTACAGATTGGTTTGGTCTTCAGGCAGTCCATGGCATATTCAATAATCTTCACCAACTCCATAATTCAAATGCATCAATTAAATATTTTTACTTTTAGCCATTTTCAACAATACTGCTGCAAATATCTTTCTTCATATACTTTTGCACTCTTGTGTCCAGTTAATCCCATAGGATAAATTCCTCGAAATGGAATGGTCAGGTCAAAGTACATTCCTAAGGTTTTTGGTACATCTTGGCATACTGTCTCCAAAAGGCTACACCAGTTCACACCCCCAGTGCCAGCTCATGGAGTGGTCCAGGACCCGATAACTCTTTTTCTTTCTTTTTGAAGATTATTTTGATTTTTCCTTTCCGAAGACTAACACACTCTTTTGTTTAACTATGCAAGTTGCTTGTTGTTCAACTGGTGCTGACTCGTGGTGACCTTCATGTGTCACAGAAAGAAGCCAGCTGGTCCTGTGCTTTATATAGAGAATTCATTACTCTCCCGTATCCCTGTCAACCTTCACAAAGGTCCCTCTTTGGATTCTTTTTTGAGAATGGATTTCCAGGATCATAGACCTTTTGTTTGTCTTTGAATTGTGGTGTTGGAGGAGAATACTAAAAGTGCCATGGACTGCCAAAAGAACCAATAGATCTGTTTTGGAAGAAGTGCAGCCAGAGTGTTCCTTAGAGGCCAAGATGGCTAAACTTTGTCTCTCATACTTTGGACATATTGTCAAAAGGGAACAGTCGCTGGAGAAGGATGTCATGCTTGGTAAGGTGGAGGGTCAGAGAAAAAGAGGAAGCCCCCTAATGAGATGGATTGGCGAGGTGGCATCATTGATGATGTCAAGTGTGGCAGCGGTAGTGAGGTTGGCCCAGGATCGGACATTGTTTCGTTGTGCTGTGCATGGGGTCACTATGAGTCGGTTCCGACTCGATGGCACCTGACAACAACAACAACAACAACAACCACAACAACAAGACCTTTTGTTATTGCTGATGTTGCTAGTTCCCACTGAGTTGAGTCCAATTCCTCGTGACCTTGTGTGTGCAGAGTAGAACTGCTCCACAGTGTTCCTAGACTGTGTGACCTTGGGAAGCAGATCTCCACTCTTGTCCCCTGAAGCACCTGAAGTGGGTGGGTTCAAACTGCCTACCTTTCTATTATTACTTCAGTGCTTAACCATTTGCAGCACCTGAGAACTCCATAGAGTCTTGAGGAATGCAGGCACACCTTGTTTTACTGCCTTCACTTTACTATGGTTCACAGATGTTATCTTTTTCTAACATTAAAGGTTTTGGCTACCCTGCATCCAGCAAGTCTATGGACGCCATTTTTCCAACAGCATGTGTTCACTTCCCACATTGTGGTCATCCTCAAAACACTTCAAACATTTTCCTCATGCACACTTCATAGACCACCATATTGCTGTTGTTACGTACCATCAAGTCGGTTCTGGGTCATAGAGACCCTGTCTAGGGTTTCCGAGGAGCGGCTGGTGAGTTTGAACCACCAACCTTGCAGTTCAAATCAACCTTGCAGTCCAGTACTTACCCTATAGCACCCCCCACCACTCCAGAGCGCAGTATAGCGTCAATATAACTTTTTCATGCACGGGGAAACCAAAAAATGATCTGACTAGTTTTATGCCAATGTTTACTTTATTGTGGTGGTCTGGACTCGAACCTGCAATATCTCTGAGTCCTACCTGTATATAATTTAAAGACACCAACGTCCCGATTGAGAGGGGAGCAGTAGCTTTCCCCACATTGAGCTCATGTGTTGTGATGCAGAGTGTGTGAGTTCTGGTGCCAGGGGAGACTGGCCTTCAAGTGAGGTGAAGTCATTGATCCACCCTGACCCTCCAGGTACCAGCAGCTTGTTTCACCCCATCTCCCATGCCGAAGGGCACCCTGTCCTGTTCACAGCTCCTTGAGCAAACTGGGGGGCACGTCTGCCCGCTTTCTTTTTATAGTTGAGTAAGCAAAGGAATAACACATGTGCATATATAATTAGGTGGTCGGATAAAGGGAAATCTTTAAACTGTAGGTTGAAATGGTGCCTTCACAGGCACGAGGCTATTTTCAAGGACTTAAAAAAAGACAATAATAGGCCATGCAATCTAGAATTTCCTACAAGGGTGCAATTTCAAGGCCCACAAATGTGAAGGGGTGACCCCGTCCCCTGTCCTCTGTTCCCCTCCACATCCTAAGGGGCTGTGGGCCTGGGAAGAAGCACCAGAGAAAGAGAAGGGGGCTGGGAGAGAGAAAGGCACACCCACCATGAGCAGGAAGGGGTAGGTGTTGGCCCCCAGCTTCTTCAGCAGACTTTCCTGCAGCTTTGTGAGGGTGTGTATGACCCCCACAGGAGGATACACCTGGACGCGAGAGAAATACAGGTCCCTTCGAAAGGTGAGGCCAATCACATCGATGTCTTCCTGGCCGTAGCGGAAGGCGCAGGTCAGAGAAACATAAACTGGGAAGAAGACAAGAGAAGGTTGGTCCTTGAAACGTCAGACTCCCCTCCGTGTTCGTTGCCATGGGGCCCATTGCCACTTGATGGAGCGTGCAGAGATTATGTTCTGAAGGGGTGCGTCAGAGTGGGTGGGCACCACAGGAGTTGGCTAGAGAACATGGTACCCGCTCCTTGCTGTATGGTTTCCTTCACCCTCCCCTCCTTCCTCTTTAGTCTCCTAACTCGGGGATTTGGAGGAGACTTTGAAGCCCTGCTTGGGTTCTGGAAGTCAGGCTTTCTGGATGAAGTTAAGGTGAAGAGGAGAAACTGAGGGAATATCTTGCTTGGGAGCAAAGCAGATCCAGGTCAGAGCTGGAAGTGGGGCTAAGAGCAGAGTTAAATTGGGGCTGGACTACCTCGATAGTGCAGATGGTCAATGCACTTGACTGCCAACCCAAAGTGCGGTGGTTCTTGTCTATCCAGAGATGCGTTGAGAGACCTAGCTACCTAGTTCTGGAAAAAACCCAGCCACTGAACCTCTAGGGAGTGTAGTTCTACCCTGACACAGTGGGATTACCAGGAGTCAAAGTTGGCTCGAAGGCAACTGGTTTACTTTGGTTTAATCTCCATTGTTACTATTGGTTGAGGATTTCATGCCTATATCTAGCCCACACCCCTGAGCACAGAAGAAATGCAATCACTTGCTCACACTCTCCCCGATGCAGCAAAGAAGAAGGCACCCACAGCACCTGGTTTTGTTCTGCCCTCATCAGAAATGGCTGTGACATCCAAAAGTAGCTGACTTCTTAAGCAGGGGGTAGGAACGTCAGCGCTCAAATTAGCCTCGCCCCAGCACTCAAGATCAACAGGTACTACGCAGGGGCCCATGGAGGGTCAGAGCCACTTCTGCCCTCAGAGCTGGCGTCCCACACCTGACGTGAGCTCTTAGGGTTGCTAGTAGCAACCACTCAAGAAAAGCGTCATGGAGTCACCGTGATCATTTGAGTCTGCTCTCATTTCGTTTCCGTAACTTTTATTAGTAAAAATCGCTTTACCACACGCTTTGCAACTGTTAGCTGACTTCTAGTGGTTCGGAACCACTGCAGTAAGCAAAACACAACATTCTGGGTTTTACTTCCCTTGCCTCGCTCAAAGCAGGCTTCTTTGTCTCCTTTTAGGGTAAAACCCTTCTTTCTGGATCTGACACAAGAGTGTCAATTCCATGGGCAAGTCCATGATACAATTCCACTGCCCATGGTTGAGTTTTCACGTCTCAGTCGGAGGCATGGAACCGTGAGCGCTGGCGTGGACAGGACCATGTGGTGAAGCTTATCTGAGGGAGAGTGTGTGGGTGGACAGTCAACAAGGTGCCGGCTACCCTCCTTTCTTTCTGGACCAGGCACTCTGCTTTCATGCCTTGGTCCAGGGTCAGCTGTGAACCAGAGGTCACCACACAAGGACAAGGCGTTCTACCTCACCTCTCTTTCCCTTGATGAGTTCAGGATCAACCAACACGACTCCATCTAAACAGAGGAGGGAGAGAACCGTGAGAGGGCAGCAGATGAAAGCAGCCAGCTGTCTCTGGAGAAGACTATATATGTTTTTGATTGGACATATAATCCATGTATGCTACAGGAAAGTTAGAATGTCAAGTTAAGCTAAGAGAAACACAGAGTCACCCTAATTTCCACACCCAGAGAGAGCTACTATCAAGATATTGGTGCAGAATGTTTTTTGACTGCATCTAACAACATATACACTTAATTTTATAAATGTCTTATACCTTTCCAAAAGTGCTCAGTTAGCTGAGTAGAACTAGGTGTGGTTGGCACCTGAAATTTTGGAAATTCTAGTTTACCCAGAGGAGTCTTGGTGTAACACTGTAGGGTAAGAACTGAACTGCTAACCATAAGGTGTCAGCAGTTCAAACTCACCAGCTGCTCCTCGGAAATTCTATATAGGGTCGCTATGAGTCAGAACTGACTCGATGGCATATAACAACAACAAAATACATATATATACATACACACACATCATACATACATATATGTGTGTGTAGGGGGCCCTGGTAGCGTAGTGGGTTACAAGTTGGGCTGCTAACTGCAAGGTCAGCAGTTCAAATCTACCAGCCACTCTGTGGAGAAACATGAGGTTTTCTGCTCCTTTGAAGATTTACAGCCTTAGAAACGCTATACAGGGTTGCTATGAGCGACACACAACCACTAACCAGTATACATACATATGTAAGTTGTTGTTAAGTGCTGTTGAGTCAGTTCTGACTCATAGCGACCCTGTATAGGGTTTTTGAGGAGCGCCTGGTGAGTTTGAACCACCAACTTTGTGGTTCAAACCAATCTTTCGGTTCAATGTGTATCCTACAGTGCCACACCAGGACTCCATATGTAAGTAGACATATGTACACATATGTATGTAGAACTATATGTTTGCATACATGGACGCTTCAAAAAGTTTGTGGAAAAATTAGATGAAAAGATAGTCAAATTTTCCACAAACTTTTTAAAACTACCTTGTATACACATGTTGTTGTTGTCAAGTGCTGTCAAGTCGGTTCCGATCCATAGCTACGCTGCATAGGGTCTCCTAGGAGCAGCTGGTGAGCTTGAATCTCCGACCTTGCGGTTCAAACCAGCTTTGCAGTCCAGCACATTAACCCACAGAGGCTTCAAAAAGTTTGTGGAAAAATCCATAATCTTTTCATTCCATTTTCCCACAAGTTCCCTTTAAAGCATGTGCATTGTACCCTAACAATGGCAGATGAATTAAACAATTTATGTTACATTTGTGCAAGGGAGTAACGTGTGAACCCAAGCTTCCATTTCTCTGGGATCACTGTCCAGGTGGGTGATTACTGGGTTGCACGGTAGTTCCATGCTTAGTTTTTAATGAACTTGCCAAACTGTTTTCTGAAACGACTGGACCAGTTTCCATCCCCACCAGCAATGTATGAGTGACCCAGGTTCTCTGCCCCATCACCAGCCATCCTGGTATGTGTGCCATGACATCTCATTGTAGCTTTCTTTGCATTTTCCTGATGTCTAATTTGTGTGGTGTAGGATAAAGCACTAGACTGCAAGGTTGGTTTGAACCACAAGCTCGGCAGTTCAAGCTCACCAGCCAATCCTTGGAAACCCTGCACAGACAGGGTCATTATGATTGGGAACCAACTTGGCGGCACTTAACAACAACAATGATGTTGAACATCTGTGTGTGTTGAACTGACATCTGTAAATCTGCTTCAATGAAATATCTTTTTGTCTGTTGCTCATTTTTTAATTAGATTGTAGGTTTATTTTACTGCTGAGTTTTGACAGTTTTTTATATACCTCAATACTAATCCCTTGTTTCTTTTATCTTCTTTAAAATTATTTCAGATCAGTCAGCAGCATCTCACTGATGTTTTGATCTGTGTATCTTTGATTACATTATTAGCGAGACCAATTTTTTAAAATACAAAACCAGCATACATTTTGCCTGATGCATTAAAACAATCACAACAACAAGCAGCCTCGTTTCACTCCGAATGTAACTTACCCACAGGTTCTATTTCACTGACGTGGTCTATATAGTCTCTCTTCCCCAGGTAGATAGTCACCTGTTGGGAGAACAGGTGTGGATGCCTGATGATCCAAGAATGCTTCAATTAAATTGTGCATGTTAAAAATCAGCAACACATCGGGAATGGAAGGATTCTTCATGTCAAGAAACAAACTCCTTTCCTCAGTGCACTAGGTTGATATGGAAGGATGATTGAAATGTTGGTTACCAAATATGGGGGCGGGGTGTGCTATAAAGGCATAAAGTGCTGGCTTACAAGCTTTCATGAGTGTGCTTAGTTTCAGAATGAAGGGGGCAATGTAGAATCCCCACTGAATTATTTTCCTCTTCTCCAGATGGGTTTGGTGAAAGGGGATGGTGGAGAATGGGGATAAGAGGTTATGATTCAATTGTGAGTAACTGTTATCAGGATTAATTGCGATTGTCACAACTGTAAATGTTGAAGATGTATAACTAAAAGGGGGGAGTAGTTAATCTTTCATTTCAGGAACAGATGATCCTGGGACCGTCAAGAAGGAAGAGCATGAGTGGATCATGAGACCCTACCTAGGAAAGCAGCGACAGCAGAGACAATGGCAGAGGCAGTGGCAGGAAGAGACAGAGCAGCTGAAGACTCTGGGCCCATGGACTGAGGAAGGCTGTGAGCCTGCGGACAGGAGGCTGGCTTGCAGAATATGACCACAGGACATTTACATGAATATATATATATACATTTTTTTTTTTGATTGTGTACATCAACATATTTTTGCTTTGTTCATTTGTGAAATATAAGATGTAAAAGGAAAGCCACAGGGAAGAAGGGTCACTGTTGTTGCAGGAAGGGGATTGTAATCATTGAGATGAAACAAAGAGTATAATTTGTTGAATGTAAAGCTGATGATCTTGTCTGTAAACCTTCACTCAATTCACAACAAAAAGTAAAAAAATAGAAGAAGAAGAAGAATGAGAGAGAAAGAAAAGAAGAGGAATCAGCAGCAATATGTAGTCCCCTATAGACTTCATTTCTCCTATTGTCAGAATCGTGTCCATGATACTTGTGTAGTGGTAGCGTAGTGATTATGAATTGGGCTGTGAACCACAAGGTCAGCAGTTCGAAACTACCAGCTGTTCTGTGGGAGAAAGATGAGGCTTTCTGCTCCCGTAGAGATTTACAGCCTCGGAAACCCTGTACAGGGTCGCTATAAGTCGGAACCTGTACACAGCCACGGCACACAGCCACCACCACCACCACATTTTGTGTAGATGGGCATTTAGGTTGTTTCCACCTTTTTGCTATTGTGAATATTACTACAATAAGTGTTGGTGTCAATGCCTTAAAAACAACAACAACAAAAAAGATTGGTACTTGTTTTATGCTCAGGGAAAGTTCTGGTAGAGAGGGATAGGAAGAAGCTGCAGCCCAGAGAGAGTGAGCAACCTGAGGAGGTGATATAGACCACAAGGCTCAGGTGGAGGTAGAGTGGAAAATTTTGGGTGGGGGACTAAGGGCACCTTGACCACTTCAGATGGAAGGGAAGGTGTGCCTGGTTATATGAATTGTGTTCCCTAAAATGCTATGCTCAAGCCTTAGCCCCCGAAAACCTTTGGAAATGAACTTAGTTGGAAACAGCATCTTGGCAGATGGCATTGGCAAGCATGAGGTGATTCTGGAGTTGGGTCGACCCAGATCTAATAGGATGGGTGTCTTTATAAGGAAAGAGAGCCAGATACACAGAGGGAAAGACAGCCTTGAGAAGATGGAGGCCGAGATTTGAGGGATGATCCTGTAAACTAGGGAGTGCCTACAGCCACCAGAAGTCACAAGCTGGAAGCCAGAATCCTCTGCTGGAGCCTTCAGCAAGAGTGTGGTGACACCCTGCTGACACCTTGCAGTCGAACTCTTAGGCTCCAGAACTGTGAGAACACACGTGTGTTGTTTAAGCTACCCAGTTTGTGGTACTTTTCTGTGGGAGCCTAAGAAAATGATTACAGCAGGGAAATGAACAGGGACAGGTAGAGAAGTGGCACCAACCTATGTTAGGCTGGGTCACTTCTCCTGTTCCTACCAAGGAACAGCCACCAATTGAGCACAGGGCCCATAGTCTTCTGTGTGGTGGCACCAAGAAGAGCTCTATCCAATGGTGACTCCTGATTGGTCTGCCCCAATATCATCATCCAGTGCCCTTGGCTCAAGAGTGGTTTAGGATGGCATGTGACCCAGTGTGGGCCAATGAGATAGGAAAGAAAGTTGGCTGAGGGGCTCCTAAGAAAACATCCCGAAGGCAGCAACTAATGTCTTTTCCTTGATCAGGATGTTGTCAAGTGAGCATGGAGCTGGGACCACCATCTTGCCCCCAGCCTGAAGCTGAAGACAATACCCAAAGAGGACCATCAAGGGACTCATAGAAATGGACCCAGAACTCTGACACTCCAGGCTGGGAACAGAAGGGAGGCAGCAGGTGGGATGACCGAAGCAGAGAGAGTACCCGTTGTGACAATAAAGGGAGACATTGATGATGACTTCCTTTTTCCTCCCTGGCTACCAATAGACAAGGAGCCCTGGGGTGGCAATGCAGGATAATGTGCTGGACCGCAAGGTCAGTGGTTCAAACTCACGAGCTACTCCTTGGAAATTCTATACAGGGTCATTATGAGTCGGAACCAACTCGATGGCTTCAACAACAATAACAACAACAACAACCTATATACAAAGGAGCACTGTGGTTCTGTAGGATAAGCATTGGACTGCAAATCACAAGGTCGGCAGTTTCAGTCCATCAGCTGCTCAGCAGTAGAAAGATGAGGCTTTCTACTCCCACAGTGATTTACAGCCTCACCAACCCTATACGGGGCTGTTATGAGTTGGAACTCACTCAACAGCACTTAGGAACAGCAACAATCTACATACAAAAACAAAGTCTAAAGTGCTTAATTCAAAGGATGTCTATGTAACTGTGAGGGGACAAAGGTGAGGGTGTGGGTAGAGGAGAAACAAGGGGGACCGGTGACTGAGAAGACCCCAAGTTGGAAAAGAGTTAGGTTTGGAGAATGAAATGTTGAGGGCACTCAACTTGTCACCTCATAGAATGAGAAAACGTGATGAAAATGGAGTTGGGGTTCAGCTATGGGAGGGGAGGGCAGAAAGAGAGTGTTTGTGGGGCACAACAGAATCGGGGTTCCTTTAGGGCCCCATATAAGCTAGAACCATCTAAATATGCACTGGACAATATGACGGCCACTAGCCACATGTGGCTACACTGGACGCTTGAAATGTGGCTAGTCCAAATTGAGATACAGACCATAGTTCAAAGACATAGTAAGGAAACCAAAGTAAAACAAGTCATCATCAATCATTTCTGTAGTTTTTACAAGTTGGAATCATAATTATCTAGACATATTGGGTTACCACCACTCGTCTGTCAGTTTGTCGTACTGCGGTGGCTTGTGAGTTGCTATGCCACTGGTATTTTAAATACCAGCAGGGTCACCCATGGTGGACAGGTTTTAGATGAGCTTCCAGACAAAGACAGACTAGGAAGAAAGAATGATGAGCTACTTCCAAATCGCTAGTCGCTGAAAACCTTATGAATAGCAGAGACACACCGTCAGATATAGTATCGGAAAATGAGCCTCTCAGGTTGGAAGGCACTCAAAATGTGACTGGGGAAGAGCTGCCTCCTCAAAGTAGAGTTGACCGTGATGACGCGAATGGAGTAAAGCCCGAGGGAGTAAAGCCTGCAGGACCTTCATTTGCTCATGGGCCACAACTCAAAATGAAGAGAAACAGCTGTAAACAGCCATTAATAATCAGAACATGGAATGTACGAAGTATGAATCTAGGAAAATTAGAAATTGTCCAAAATGAAACAGAACACATAAACATAGAAATCTTAGGCATTAGTGAGCTGAAATGGACTGATATTGGCTATTTTGAATCTGACAACCACATGGTTTACTATGCCAGGAATGACAGATTGAAGAGGAATCATGTTG